ACGCACACACACACACACACACACACACACACACACACACACACACACACACACATATTAGGGCACAGTGGTAAAACTGCTGTAAGGATTCAGATGGATCAGTTTCTGCTCGGATCACCTTTGAGAAGAAGATGCGGAATGTGAATGCGTGATTGATCCACGAGATGTGCAGCTCGGACTCACTGCTCCCGCATCTCCCAGCGATCTGAGCTCCACGCGGGACCGACACGGACGCCTGCTCCGTGATCAGCTGCACACACACACACACACACACACACACACATCAGATCATCATCTCATGTTTGTTCATGAAAGTTTTCAAACGTTTAAAGCATCCTGACGGGTCGTGCGGATCATGATGGCATTTCTGTTTAACTTCGTCCAAATGCATTTAGAATCCGTGTTGATCATGTTTGGACTAGACCAGCTCAGAATGCTTCATTTAGGATTTTAGAGTTGCTCACATCGATCCCGTTCAGTGCCAGCACGTCGTAGGGAATCAGGAATTTCACCGCAAACTCCGCCATCAAGCAGGTCGTTCCGTTTTCTCTCACTACGAAAATATCCCGGTCAGGATTCGGCGACAGTCCGGAGAGATTCTCCACCTCCTGCTCCGCAGAAACACAGAGCGCCGACAGAGACACTGGAGAGACCAGGAGAACATGTGAGGAACCAGGAGAGACTCACACACACACACACACACACACACACTCACAATCACACACACACACACGCACTCACAATCACACACACACACACTCACACTCACACACACACACACACACGCTCTCTCTCTCTCTCTCACACACACACACACACACACACACTCACAATCACACACACACACACGCACTCACAATCACACACACACACACTCACACTCACACACACACACACACACGCTCTCTCTCTCTCTCTCACACACACACACACACACACACACACACTCACACTCACACACACACACACACACGCTCTCTCTCTCACACACACACACACACACTCACAATCACACACACACACACGCACTCACAATCACACACACACACACTCACAATCACACACACACGCTCTCGCTCTCTCTCTCTCACACACACACACACTCTCTCTC